TGCTCTGCCCCGCCCGTCTCTGGAGTGTGCACTTCGCCTCGCTGAGCTCAGCAGTGCTCTGCCCAAGTACCCAGGCCCACCCCTCTCGTCTGCCCCGCCTGCTGAGATACTGTTTTCTCAGAGAGTGTACCTTGTCTCGATCACACTAGCAAGTCCAAACCCACCTCTTCTGTCTTTCCTTTAAAGAGATTTTTGCTATAGGGTGTGCGCGCTCTCATGAGTTTAAAGCTGCCGAGTCCGGGCCTAGAACTGTGGTTGACTCCATGGAGTCCAGCGACATAACCACTACGCCGCCTGCTGGTCCCCAGGCCGGCCCCTTCTGATCTGGTCTCCGGGCAGGGCCTCGCACACTGCAGCTTCTCTCCTACTCTGGAGAGCAGCCGCGCTCTGGCCCGATGCCCGTGCCAGGGTACCAGAGGAGGGCGGGGAACGTCTAGAGACCCGGACAGGCCTGAGCTGTCAGGTGCTCACGTCTGGGGCCCGCAGGCACCCCCGTCCCCCCTTAGGGCGCAGCAGCGCGGAGGGCTGGTCAGCATCAGCTGGTCAGCATCAGCGGGGAAGAGCTCCCCCCTCCCTGGCTGGGTGTCTCCTGCACAGCACGGTTCAGGTGGAGGGCCTCTGCTTGCTTTGTCTACACAGCAGGGCAGCCTGGCGGTGCTCAGGCCGGTGTGCTAGGGGCCAGCCGGGTCAGCCGGAGGGCTGATTGAAGACCGCTTCCTGACACTGTTGGCCGGTGACCGCCCGGGGGGCTTCAGAAAGGGGAGGTGCCGACCCAGAGGAAGATCCCTTCCCCTATTACCACCTTCCTTCTCCTGACTTGGTGGGGACCTCAGGCAGGTTGAAGGGGAGTACTCGCATGACGCCCTGTGCATCTTGTCAGCAGTTCATCTCCCGAGACGCTCAGGAAAGGCCCACGCCGCAGAGAACGCGTTTGTGGACAGCCTTCGGCGCCTCCCAGGATGGAGGAGGCTGAGTGGGCACCCCATGGGGGCGGGGCGCGGGGTGCAGGCTCCGCTCTGGTCACCATGCACATGGGCACATGGCGGGGCTCCCTCACTCTGCGGGTCCTCGTTGGGCTCCCGCATGCCTGCCCCTGCCTGGTTTGCCCAGAACTGTCCTGGAGCCCCACGTCCCAGGAACCTGAGTCCCCGGAAACCCAGCTAGTTGTCCCTGCTGCACTTGAGGAGAGATGCCAGGAAAATGACGCGAGAAGCTCGGCTCACAGCCTGGTCACGCTCCCCGTCCACACCCCTGCCCGGTGGACTTGGGAGCCCACTGGGAGTGAGGGGCGTGGGGTGCTCGGGGCTCAGGGCAGAGCTGCAGGTACAGGAGGGATAGAGGCCCCTTAGGCTGGCTGCCCCTCCCTTCCACGTTCACCAGAGCTTTCGGCCTCACCTGGCTGATGAAAAATCCAGCCACGGTGGGAGAGATGGCCCCAGACAACTGTGCGAACATCTGTAGCAGCCCCCTGAGGAAGCTGGAGTACCTGAGAGGGAGGGAGAGGGAGAGTGAGGGGGAGAGGGAGAGGGGGAGGGA